GGGTTGTTACGACCCCCCCCCTGGCGTTTCGAAACGGAAGGTCGTAGAGCTTAGCGGAAAAAACCAAAGGATTGCTCTCAACGAGATCTCGCGATTGGTGGTATATTTTTTGGTCCTAGGTCAACATTTGACCTACTTTTGACCGGTCAAAGGTCAAATTTTCGGAAAAATAGACTTTTTTTCAAATTTCCGCGGCGATTGCGGCAAAACGGTTGGAGATATCGACTTGAAACCTTCACTATCGTGTTCCTTGATCAATTCTCTATCGTTTGGTATGTATTTCGTTTCCCTAGCTCTAAAAATGGCGCGTTGGGAGCGCCGGAAGTCGGCAAGGTCACAGTCGGCGGCAGAAATTCGAAAAATCAAAATTTAAATTTTTGAAATCTGATTGTATTTTTGGATTTGGAAGGTCCATTTGCTCCTTATAGTAGCTAATATTGCTGCATATTCCCATTGAGGTGACAAGAATTAGCAAAATAGTGGTTCGGGCGCTTTTCAAAAATAGTACCAGACGCTGTTCCTCTTATGACGTCATAACTCCGTGACCTGACCTGACCCGGTCAATTTTCTTGCACCACACGATAGCCAATGCTTGCCCCAACATGCATGGGAAGTTTCATCATGATCCATCAAACAATGTGGGTATCACCGGCAGAAAACCTAGGGATTCGGCGCACACGTTTGGTAACTGTCGGCCGGAGGCTGTACCTCTTATGACGTCATAACTCCGTGACCTGACATGACCCGATCAATTTTTTTCGGCAAAAGATGCGCAAAGGTTGCCCCAGAGGGTATTGAAAATTTCAGCCCGCTACGACAAGCCGTTTAGCGTGCACTTCGAAAAAACCTCAGGGGGGGTTGATACACCCCCCCCCCCTAGGCGTTCTAGGGTTAAGAAGCACACAACAAATTGAAACACCACAAAGAAGGGGTGAATATAGCGAAAATAGCACCGGCTCGCGGAATTGACAGCAGGAAAGGACAAAAGCTGTGTGTAATCACCACAACTGATGGCCGCCTCACATCTCCACCTGTACCGCAGCGGTACGGACAGTACGGGTATGGGTCGGCACGGGTACAGGGTCAGTACAGACGATACGAGTTGATCGGCGCCGTCACCCCTCACCGTGGGACTGTGCGGCTGGCCCGGCCGACTCCCCCCGTTCCCCCGATCCGTGCGCTGCTCGCTCGCAGTGCAGTGGGCGGGACGCACCCCGGCCGGCGCAGCTAACACAGAGCCCGCGCGATGAAAATTGAATGATTTGGTGCCGAGTTTTGAAGTGCGCCGCCCCGTATTTAGCAGGGGAGCGCAGCAGGGGGAACGGCTAGAGGCGACGACAGCCGCCCGGCTACGGCACTGATTTCATAATACAGCTAAAAGCTTTCTTTGATTTGATTTCAGTAGGCAAAATAAAAGCAGCAGGGGCGTTAGGGGAGCGAGACGGGGACCGCTGGGGTCCTGTGGAAAGGGAGCGGTCATTGGCTGGCGGTGTCGGTGATACGGGGTCCGGGCGCCGCCGACGGCTGCTCTGAATTCATGATCCGGTGTATGAAGTGATCGGTCTATTTTGGGCGCAGACAGTGGCTGAATTCACAGCGTCGGTAGTTTATCACACTGGGACAGGGAATGTGAGCTCGATTTCCATTGAGGCAGTGTCAGAGCAGAGGAGATGTATGGTGCGACTGCGCCACCCACACTGCAGGCCGCTCATCAATCAACGGTCGGCCGTGCCGCGCTGTACTTCTGATGAATAAACACAATGGAACAAAACACAGCTGCCGTGGCCTCTCACACAGCGATGGCTATTGGGGCTTTATCACTTACTATCTCCGCGGAAATTGCCAATAATGAATATATGCAATCATATAAAAGATGAGCCGGGACAGATTATAATGCCCCACATTTGTTTAACGTTGGAGCTTTGAAGACTTTCTGAAATATCAGGTAAATATTAACCATCAGGGATGATGACAAACATGCCACGCCGAAAGAGAACCTGATTTAGCGAAACGTCTTTACAAATTGCTGCATTATGTCAAAATCAGACCTCGTCTGCAAGCCTCATCGGAGGTGAAATTATTTTACCTTCATAGTCCCCCCACAATTTTTTCGAGTTATTGAAAATCTCGCAGGAGCTCAAACGCATAATATGAAGTAGGTACCTCCTGATTGATGCACGACACTACTAACAAATATTGCAAACTCCTAAATAACTTTCACAATCGTCGGATGACCAGATCGCAGAAGATACTAAACACAAAGCAGCGAGGACCATTCACGTGGAACAGATGTCTGCTTTCAGACATTGCTAGGCCCCGGAGCGGGCCGGCGTTTAAATGACTTTCCCCGGTCCCCAGAACCCCCTCCGTAGCCTCAGGCGGCGTGCAGCAGCCACAATCGTCATCTGTGTTGATTTAGCGGATTTCGCGCCACATTCGGGGCACTCGGCGCGCTTTCTATTCATGTGTTCACCGCTGACTGCGCAGCTGTTCAGAAATATCGGCCGCCGCTCTGGCTTTGGCCCGCATATATTACTGAGCGGTGTCAAAAGCCATGAGCAGACACCCTCACCGCGAAAAGGGACATAGTCATCGGGATTTATTGCTGTGGTAAAGAATTATTCCAGATCATTGTCGCAACAATAGTCAAATAAAACGCGGGCTTATGTCTGTTTGCGCTGCGCCTTTTGGTCGGATAAGCCCGAATCAGACGGGCGCCAATTCTCACAAAAGTCCGTGAATCTGCCAGATGACGAATCCCAATCGGTCTCGGAGATTTGTCAGATTAGAGCTGCCTGACTGTCTGGTGGCGCCAGACAGTCTGTGGAAATGGACGGCAGAGAATGAAAAAGGTTCCTTCGTTTGCGCACGCACGCACAGTTGCCGCCTCATCTACGATGAAAATTGAAGCTAATTTCCGACTTTGAGTCGTGTTTAGACAAGATCGAGAACTGTTTGAAAAAGACCTGTGGTCGAAATATTACATTCTTCCAAATAAAGTATATATTTGTACAGCATTAGTTTTGGTAATAATCGGGGGAAAAGGTCATGTTTTTACATTTTCTACTATTTAAGATCGAGAACACCTGGACGTTGAGATCGTCATCAATAAGTATTGACGCTTGTTGATCTATCTGATCAGCTTGTATCGCATCAGAAAGGACCATATTCTTAGTCCAGCAGGTGCTTGCAGCTGTTACCCAGCCCGTATCCATCAGGTGCCTGCACTCTGCAGCTCTGTTACCTACATACCAGGGTCCTGTAGCTCTGTCACCCATCAGGTGGCTCCAGCTCTGTCCCCAGCTCCCGTTCATCAGACGCCTGCAGCTCCGCTACCCAGCCAATGTTCATCAGACACCTGCAGCTCTGTTCTCCAGCTCCTCAGGTGCTGCGGCTCTGTTACCTAGCTCCCGCTCATTAGGAGCCGGCAGCTATGTTATCCAGCTCTGTCCATCAGCTGCCGGCAGCTCCAACGCCCAGTCACTGTTCATCAGGTGCCTGCAAGCCAGCTCCGTTCCCCAGCCGTGCTGGCCCAGTAGGCGGTCTCCGGCTGACAGGCCGTCACCCACCTCCCCTGCGCACGCCCATGATTTGCATAAATCACCCCCGTTTGAAGATTGAAATTCATAGCGGCAGAAGCGGCCGCCGACTGGGGTGCCAATCGGGCGTGTCCGAGCCGCTGGTGCGGCGCAGCAACCATCTGGCTGCCGGGGGAGCGAGGTGTGGAGTGTCTGTCCATGAGAGCGGTACGAGTGTCTGTCCATGGGAGCGGTACGGGCGTCTGTCCATGGGAGCGGTGCGAGTGTCTGTCCATGGGAGCGGTGCGAGTGTCTGTCCATGGGAGCGGTGCGAGTGTCTGTCCATGGGAGCGGTGCGAGTGTCTGTCCATGGGAGCGGTACGAGTGTCTGTCAATGGGCTAGAGAAGTCTGGTGTCCATGGGGTAGCAGAGTGGAGTCATCAAAGAGTCGTCTCCACTGTTGCCCATGGCGGCGGCGGAGTAGGGCAAGAACTGTTTCCTATGTTGTCCATAGAAACGGCAGAGTCGGAGCTAAGGAGCATTCCACACAGCTGCCCATGGGAGCGGCAAAGTTGGACTTAAGAGCCGTTTCCTGCGGTCCATGGGGCGGCGGAGTGGTGCTGGAGCCGTCTCCACGGCTGCACGGATCTTCAAAACAATTTTTACGCAATCAACTAACCTGGCAAAGCCGTGAGGGAGCCTTAATAGGAGCCGAAGTCGGAACCAGAATACTCGACAGAAGTCGAAGGCATGTAGCCCATTTTTTACGCCTCGTGCATCAACTCTGTTACTCTACTCGCAACAAATACAATATCCTAGTTTATTACCGAGCGTGCCTCGAGGCAGTTCACCACAGGCAGTGACGTTACCTTTTCTGACTCTCGGCGGAGCAAAAATGCTCAGCGATTGACCTTGAGCATACGCCAGTGCTGATCAGAATAGAAGCAATGCATCAGTGCTTTTTAATTAATGAGTGACTGGTTGCAACTAATTAACTCATGACTGATTGGCTACTCGCTAGTTAACTGAGGGCCAAATTAAACAGGTAACACATTATAACAGACTATATACACTATACAGAGGTCTATTCTATATTATTAAATACAACCAATACCTACAATCTGTAAGTTCGTGGATGCATACTACAATCAATTATCAGCATGCGTTTAACCTACATTTCATTCATTACAAATTAGCAAACAAGTATGATGTAATACAATCAATAATAAGCATGCATTCAAACTTCATTCATTACAAATTAGCAACCAAGTATGATGTAAAAGCCAAGTGTGAAGTGAACCACATTACGCGTCTAAATAAATATCTTTACCCAGTATTCGAATGATTTGTTATTTCTTATTCTTCCATTTCACCTAGATTTAGAAATATATGCGTCGCAAGCGACATCAGTTAATTGAGCTACAGCCAGGAAAGCGCCAGTGCACGGTTAGGATTCAGGAGGTTGTATCTGAATGACAACAATGTATAACGACAAATATATTTATGTTTCACGTTACTCACGATCTGCAATGCACATTGTATAAGCATATCAAATAGTGGCTCTTCACAATCAGTTAGTTCAGTCCGTCCCGACATATTCGTGCTGACACTAATAACATTTCCACGAGGTGCATCAACGATATGCTACTTCTTCTGCATATCAGCACCAAAATCGGCCACATATTGCATTGATAATTGTCAGGTACCAGTGCAGAAACACCAAATACCCCAAAAGCACCCATTGCACCTCAAGCGAGATGCGTTTTCCGTTCACATCCGCTGCTTCTCAGCCCACGATACAGCGAGGGGCGAGACTACTAGCCTGCGATCTAGCGGTCTGAGCGGGAACTGATAGCGCCGGCAACGGCCACCTACCGGGCCGGCGCTGGCAGCGTGCCCATGAACTTGCAGATGATGCCGAGCATGACTTCGTCTGCGCCAGCTCCGATCGAGAGCAGACGCAGGTCGCGATACATCCGACTCACCAGCACCTGGAGGGCGGGGCGGGTCAGGTCAGGTCAGGTCAGGTCAGGTCAGGCCAGGTCAAGTGATCGTCGCATTCTGTTGAGGACGGCTCGAGCATCATTCATTCTCATTGATTCATTCATTCAATCATGTTTCATTTAGATGCGCACGTCCATCAGAGGACTGCAATGCCAGATTCATGTGCCTCTGCGCGAGGATCAATAAAATCAAGATCAGTGTAACAAAGTGATCATGTAAAAGACGAGAGAGAAAATTATTGTTCATGGTGGATTTTAGTGTTTTGTAAGATGTCGATTTTTACAATAAACTAATATGCTATCGCCATAGAACTAACTCTCCCTGTACAGTACGTACACTGTTGCAGTACGCAACATTGATGAACAATAATTTTGCGTAATTTGCATAATAATTTGGCGATAATCTTTGCCTTGCTATGGTGTTGCAGTTCGCAATGCCTTCAATAGAGATAAGATTTTAATTGATTATTAGCTGAACCAACGGAAACAGTTTTAATTAACGTAAAGTTGATGTAGTAAAAGTGAGTTGCATCATCCGATTGACATGGATACTTCAAGGAGGCCGGTTCCGGCACCAAGACGATCATTGAGCGCAAGACCGACGCCGACGCCTATGCCGAGATCTAGCAGCTGGCTCACGGTGTCAGCTGCAGATTCGTCATCGTCTCTTCGTAGAAACTATGAAGAAGAGGAGAAACGACTCGAGCTCCTAGTACAGGAAAGTCAGCTCTCTCTTAAGCGACTACGGGAGAAGAAGGCCGCGGAATTTGTGCATGGCATCAGTGACAATCATGACTTGTCAATCGCTGGTCCTGATCTATCCCAAATAGAGGACGATGCAAGAAGTTCTCGCCATACACCGTATGAACGAATGGAATATGGTGACAATGCAAGTTTGCGAATGGGCTCCGGCACCCAGTGCATCTTTCTCAAGGAGACGCCGAAACTCGCATTTACTGTGTTCTGTGGACAGCCGGAAAGGTATCCCTTTTTCCAGCGCCAAGTTGAAGAGGCGAGGAGCAGTGGAAACTTCACGGATCTTCAGATTCTACAGCATCTCCAGGACAAGCTGAAAGGCCCTGCCTTCGATGCCGTTCATGGCACACTCCTCTCAGGCGGCTCCCTGAATGACGTTCTCGAGACGCTGGAGGTCAGATTTGGTAACCGGTTCATCATAACCCAGTCAGTGACGGAGAAGCTCCTGAGCGGGCCGAAAATTCGGAACGGAGACGTGGAAAGTCTGAGTGTGTTTTGCAGCGAAGTGCACAACACTATGTCTGTGCTGCAGGCCATTGGATACCAGGCAGAACTGGATAACTATCGGGCCATATCGTCACTGGCCGAGAAGCTCCCTCCGGAGAGTCAGCTCGCCTGGGGTGGCTATGCCAGGGCAAGAATGGAATCCGGGAGCCAGCTGACCTGCCAAATCTTCTATGATTTCCTCTGCAGTCACGTAAGGGACCGGCAGTTCAGTGTTCCCAGAACCAGCAGTGGCGCTACAAAAACCAAACGTCATCCGATATTCGCCACGTCTGATTCCGTAGAGAAGGTGCGCCGGGAAGCCGGTCGGGGAAAACCAAAGGCGCGGAAGGTAGAATGCTACTTCTGCTCTGAAGACCACTGGATCGCAAGTTGTGACCAGTTTAAGCAACTCTCTGTAGCTGACAGGCGTGCATGGGTGAAAAGGTCGAAAGCTTGCGTTTGGTGCCTCAGTACGGGTCACCAGACATCAGCGTGCCGTCGCCAGCGGCCATGCGGCAAGACTGGTTGCTCAGAGGAGCATCATGTCCTCCTTCATGATGACGTCACAAGACCGGACACCAGCGGAGTAATGTCAGCAGCCTCGCAGCCGTGCCTCGTGCTGATGAAAACTGTGCCGGTCGAACTGAGCGGGCCGGCAGGTAAGAAGCTCTGTCTCGCTTACTTGGACGAAGGGAGCTCTCTTACGCTGATCTCCCAGAAGGTGGCTGAAGAACTTGGACTGCACCAGCGTCCACGCAATCTCACGATGAAGACTTTGACGGGCGTCACGAAGCTTAAGTCGTCACTCATTGACGTGAATATCTCGAACGTAACGACGGGAGATACCTACTCGCTGACAGACGTCTACACGATGACGTCGTTACCTCTCGAAAAGGAAGCGCTCGGAACGACAAAACTTCGAGAGAGGTACGCTGAAGTGAAGGATCTTCCACACGTTGGCGAAGAACCACAGCTCCTAATCGGGATCGACCACGCGGAGCTGATTGCTTCACAGTCACTTCGGCGTCCTTCCAAGAACGGTCCTATTCTGCAGAAGACTAGGCTGGGATGGACACTCACAGGGCGCGTGCTAGACACCGAAGACTCCAGAGCCGCGTGGCAGGTTCATCGGATCGCTCAGGAGAGTCCTTCCCTGGAGAGCTTGGTCAAAGCTAACTGGGAGACGGAAGCATTCGGCTGCAAGTATCAGTACGATACCCCTCGCAGCCCAGAGGATCGAAAATCTGAAGAGATTCTCAAATCCCAAGTCTACCACAACGGGGAGCGTTGGGTAGCACCCCTGCTGAGAAGGGATCGAGGTGAAAAGTTTCCTCCGAGCCGTCAAATGGCTGAAAAGAGAGCGTTGGCATTCGAGAGACGCCTGGACAGAGACAAGCTCTCTGGAGACAACCCCACCGGCTTGGCAGATCTGACAGAGGCGAAACTGCAGAAGATGCTGCGTAACGGTCACTTCCGTAAACTGACTGTGGAGGAGGCGTCACAAGAGCCAGACAACACCTGGTACTTACCTCTCATGGCCGTTAGGAACCAGAACAAGCCGAAAAAAAGTGCGTCTGGTTCTAGACGCCGCAGCAAAAAGCCACGGAATGAGCTTAAACGATGCATTGATGCAAGGACCTGACCTGATGAACTCGCTGAGTGGCATCCTGCAGCGTTGGCGGGAGAAGGCAGTCGCTGTCACATCGGACGTGGTGGCTATGTTTAGCCAGGTCAGCATGGACGTAAAAGACCGCCCGAGCCTACGTTTCCTATGGCGTGGCTCACGACGCACCGGCGAGTTTGATGTTTATGAGTCACCAGTGCTCATATTCGGTGCAACATGTTCACCCAGCGTGGCTAACTACTGCTTCAGGCGAACAGTAGAAGACTTTGGAGATGGCGACTCTGTGGTGGCAAGAGCAGCAATGGAAGACACGTATGTTGACGACGTGATCACTGGGACGGACAATGAAGATGAAGCAGCTACGCTCATCAACAAGCTGACAACAGTCCTCAGTCGGGGAGGCTTTGAGCTGGGTCCTTGGGCTTCCAATTCACACGCAGTTCTCAGCCAACTCCAGCCTGAGCAACGGAATGATGAGGACATCACGCTCAATGATGAAGAATGTCACCGAGCTCTAGGCGTCGTCTGGAAACCTGGACAGGACATTCTCACATATCGAGCTCATGAGCCGCCAGAATCCCCAACGAAGCGCCTCATTCTGAAGACCGTCATGTCTGTGTATGACCCGATCGGCTTCTTGGCTGGCTGGCATCTTCGAGGCCGGCTGGTGCTTCAACAGCTCTGGGATTACAAGCTCGACTGGGATGATGGTATCCCATCTGACATCAACGCAGAGTGGCAGAGGTGGACCCAGGAGCTGCGAAGAATCTGTGATGTACAGCTACCCAGGCATGTCTTTCAGGGGCATCTGATCAAGGAGGTGGACTTGCACGGATTTTGCGACGCTAGTGAGAGAGGATTCGCCGCAGTCCTCTTCTACCGGTGGGAAGTAGATGGCGAAGTCCACGTCAGCTTTGTGGGAGCTCGAGCAAAGCTAGCCCCCACCAAAAGACTTTCTATCCCCAGGTTGGAGCTTCAAGCTGCGGTGCTGCTCACCAGAATGATCTCCTGCGTGAAGAAAGAGGCACGAGTGGTGATCAAATCTACTCTGTGCTGGTCAGACTCAAAGAATGTTCTTGCGTGGATTCAGTCCAGCAGGCGAAGATATCACGTGTTTGTCAGCAACCGGATAGCTGAGATCCATGACGTCACGAGGCCGGAGGACTGGCGATACGTTCCCACTGCGCTAAACCCAGCGGACGCCGCATCGCGCGGTCAGAGTCTTCATGACCTGAGGCCGGAAAGTAGCTGGGCGCGCGGCCCTGACTTCTTGTGGCTTCCAGAGACAGAGTGGCCTTGTAGCGATCATGTCGAACCTGATGTGATCCTAAAAGATGATCCAGAGACCAAAACAGTACTGGCGACAGTGCCGTCACTCGCCGCCACCACTGCCTCAGTTCTACCCGATCCAGACCGGTTCTCTCGGTGGACAGTGGCTGTGCGCGCTGTAGCGACAATGAGACGCTGGTTGACAAGCCGGCGAGACGGAGAATCAGGCGAATTCTCGGTAGAAGAGTTGACTGAAGCAGAACACTTATGGATGAAGTCAGTTCAGGAAGAACACTACTCGCAAGAGCTGAAGGACTTACGAGCCGGGCTGCCAGCTGATCCGAAGAGCACGATCGCGGGTTTGTCACCGATCCTGGTCAACGGTCTGCTCTGTGTGGACACGAGGATGAAGCATGCTCAATCACTGAGCCCCAGCGCAAAGCAGCCTCCAATACTGGATCGTCGTCACCGGTACGTTCAGCTGCTGATACAACATCTACATGAGCGGATGGGTCATCGGGCTAATGAAGCTGTTCTCGCAGAGCTGAGGCAGCGCTGCTGGATACCGCACGCGCGGTCAGCAATCCGCTCTGTGGTGAAACACTGCCAAGTCTGTAAAAACCGAAAGGCTCAGCCTCAGTCAGCACAGATGGGACAACTGCCGAGGTCACGCGTGACTATGCTGGATGGTCCATTCGCCTCTACTGCGGTAGATTATTTCGGTCCAATCCTTTCAACAAGGGGTAGGTCCACGGTGAAGTTGTGGGGCATTTTCTTCAGATGCATGGCGACAAAGGCGACCCACCTGGAGCTGACAGACAGCCTCGACACAGAGGCGACTCTTATGGCGATCTCAAGATTTCAGGCCAGGCGTGGAAACGTGAGAGAGCTGTGGTCCGATAATGGAACGAATCTTCGAGCCGCAGAAAAGGAACTCAGAAAATGCATTGAGAGCCTAGACCAGAACAGGATGAGAGAAAAGCTAACAGTGAGCAAGATCACTTGGCACTTTTCTCCCCCCGCTGATCCGGAGGCCGGCGGTGTCTGGGAGAGAGGAATCCGCACGGTGAAGGAAACCCTAAGACTCATCCTAAAGGAGCAGAGGCCGAGATATGAAGTGCTGATGACACTCCTCTGCGAAGTGGAAAAGATCATGAACTCAACGCCCTTGACTCACGTTTCAGTGGACCCAGCAGATGATGACGTTCTGACACCGTTCCATTTTCTCATCGGAAGAGCGACAGCGTCATACCCTGTTGGAACGGAAGAGCAGGACGGCGACTTGAGGAAGAGGTGGCGGTACGCACAAACACTGGCGGACCACTTCTGGCGTCGCTGGATGCGCGAATACTTACCAGCTATAAGCAGGCGATCGAAGTGGCTGAACAGCACGCGGAATGTGAAAATCGGTGACGTGGTCATCGTGGCAGATGAACGCCATCCACGAGGGCTATGGCCGAAAGGCATAGTTGAAGAAGTGATGACGGGTCGAGATGGGGCGGTCCGATCGGCACGGGTACGGACCATGCACGGACATCTCCATCGACCGGTGCGGAAACTCGTCGTCCTCCCAATTATCTCGAGACAAGGCTCGAGGAGGCCGGGATGTTGAGGACGGCTCGAGCATCATTCATTCTCATTGATTCATTCATTCAATCATGTTTCATTTAGATGCGCACGTCCATCAGAGGACTGCAATGCCAGATTCATGTGCCTCTGCGCGAGGATCAATAAAATCAAGATCAGTGTAACAAAGTGATCATGTAAAAGACGAGAGAGAAAATTATTGTTCATGGTGGATTTTAGTGTTTTGTAAGATGTCGATTTTTACAATAAACTAATATGCTATCGCCATAGAACTAACTCTCCCTGTACAGTACGTACACTGTTGCAGTACGCAACACATTCGTCGTATTGAGTCACTGATACCCCAACAGCCGCAGCTGGTGGCATGATGCAGTAACGACCCACCAGACGCTTCAATTCCATTCCCTGTACGGTAGGTCACGTCTGTTCCGAGCGGAGAAGGGGATGAAATAAGTAGAAAGTAGGTAGAAAAAAGCGACTTTGAAACGGAAGGAAAACGAACAAGGAACAGAATTTACTAGCAATGGCGACAGAAGACTACGATGTTATCAGCTGCAACGTTGAAACAACAGGATAAAAGGGAACCTAATGCACCACATTCCATATGCTTGCTTTCTAATTCTGAGACGCGTTTGACTTCCAAACCACGAGAGCTGCTCTCACCTCATTTGTGAATCCCATTCCGCCCCAGAACTGGAGGCACTTGTCGGAGACCTCGCGCACCAGACGGCCCGACTTCAGTTTGCCCATGGAGACCAGTTCAGTGACGTCCTGACCGGCCACGTACGACTCTGAAAACAACCGACGGCAGGACAATATGTCATAGAAATGAAATAGAAAGAAATACAAATGTAGTAAACTCAGCTGGCCCGAAGAGTGGCAGAGAAGCATCTGAAAGCTCGCTGACCCAACTTAACTGCATAGCACGCCCAATTAAGGAAACACCTCTGAAACCACGTAAGTACACAAGACGGAGATCATAGTTACAAGGCACACAAGGCAGAGCCTAGCGATTCGTCAAACGGAGAAATACATAATTTCTCCAATCAGTCTAGGATCAAATGGTGACTCATTCGATAAATGCATACAGATAATACTGCTAGCGCACGAATACGGAAAATACTCGTATCACCACTGATGCATAGATTCAACACTGTATTGGTAAAGCAGCATTCATAAACTTACCGGCCATCACGAGCATAAGGTACCCTGATAGAAGGAAGGGGACGGCCCGAGATTCGAGTCACCCACAAACATCCTCATGTACAGGGTGTCCCGAAATTGATTGCGCCTTCATCCCATCTCATTCATAATAAAACAAAACATGGTGGGTACTTGGTTTATTTACCGATGCATCCTCCCCTTAGTCGAATGCACTCCCTCATGCGCTCAGGCATCCCGCACACCAGATTGTCCAGCGTCTCGGCGCTGATCTGACGCCAAGCGTTCTACAGATTGCTGACCAGCGCCTTCTCGGAGGTGGGCGGCTCCCTCTTGTCCAGCTCGCCCTGCACGATAGCCCAGATATTTTCAATGGGAGATCAGTCAGGGCTGTTGCCGAGCCATACGCCCTTCTCCCAGAACCCTTGGAGGTTGTCGCGGCACCACTGCTGAGCCTTGGCCGCGTTGTGCACTGGCGCGCTGTCTTGCTGAAAATCGCTTCTGACATCTCAGGCACGGGGTTTACCGTGGTATCAGCGCCGAGACGCTGGACAATCTGGTGTGCGGGATGCCTGAGCCCATGAGGGAGAGCATTCGACTAAGGGGAGGATGCATCGGTAAATAAACCAAGTACCGATCATTTTTTGTTTTATTATGAATGCGATGGGATGTAGGCGCAATCAATTTCGGGACACCCTGTAACGCGCCGAGGACCCCACGGGGTAAACAATTAACAGTGTCTGATAGAGACATGTGGAAGTCCCGAGGAGCATTATCCCTTCGAGACTGACGCACACAACCCGCAGTGTCGTTCACCCACCGACGGCTCCGTAAAACAGCGAGCTCACGGGGGAACAGTCCCATGTAGAGGGACGGGGACGGCCTCGAGTGTAAACTGCATAGCACATTAGTAGAAAGAATGACAGGGACAGCCCCGGCAGTACCCATTCACCCTACCGACAGCGCGGTAGAGCTGAGTGACCGCAAGGGAAAACAGTTCCTTGTGAAGGGACGGGGACGGTCATGGGCCGGCAGCCTAAACCCCCTCCACTAGTAGATGGAGGAAGACAGCCCGCAGTGCCCGATTACCCACCGACGGCGCGATAGAGCAGCGACCGCAGCAGCTCCACCTCCGTTTGCAGCTCGGCCAGCGTGAAGTGGACCACCTGGTTGTCCAGGATGGAGCGGCCGAACGCCTGCCGCTGGCGGGCGTACTCGATCGTCTGGTTGATGATGAGGTCCATCGGCGCCAAGCTCAGCGCGATACCGGCCATACGCTCCTCCTGGAACTGAATACGCAGGGCATATGGGTAATGGTACTGAACAGTAGACACACATCATCGGTACGACCAAACTAGTTACATGACATGTGCCAAGCAGACATGGACTGAGTATGAGTAAAACAAACTTACACACAAAAGCGCAGAACCCCCAGCGCCATATGCATCCAAATCACAGTTAGGAGCTAATTGAATGTCGGTAGTCTCGGTAGTACTTCATTGGCTAGTTGCTCAGCGGAACAATATGATTTGGCCAGGATATGTTCGTGTTCTTCATCCTGTCCTTCACCTCGTCCCACGTCTATCGATGGCGGAAAGCCGTTTACGTGTCTCACCTGCTGCATTTGGTAGGTGAAGCCCATGCCTTCCTCGCCGATAATGTTGTCGGCCGGAACCCGCACGTCCTCGAAGAAGATTTGCGCCGTGTCCGAGCTGCGCATACCCATCTTGTCGATACGCTTGGCGATGGTGATGCCTGGTAAGCCACAGGGGATAGACTTCGTCATACCCATGTTCCAATATCCGCGTAGAGAGAGCAAAGGCACACGGATGACATTACAATTGCAACAACAGGGGAAAGAGCATGTTGTATCTTCAGTCACACGCGCACACACTGTTACACAGGCCATTTCCCTTGCATCCTTCCCTTTCAATCACCCTCTTCAGGATCTCTTAGCGCGCATAACATACGAGATACCTACGAGTCAGCTTCTGTGACTACCTTCATCGTCGCCCACAGAAGCGTTTAAAGTCTCAACGGCCACCCAACCCACCTTTGGTGTCCATGGGCACGCACATAAGCGACTTGCTGCGGTGTGGCGGCCCGGCGCTGGTGTTTGCCAGCAGGCAGATCCAGTCAGCCTGGCAGCCGTTTGTGATCCACATCTTCTGGCCGTTGATGATCAGGTCGTCTCCCTTCCGCTCGGCTCGCGTCTGACGACGATCAGCGGTAAGGAGAGGGTCATACACTTTTACACAGTCGCCGATACTCGTGAAGGGCCAAACGACTACTCTCCAATGGTTAGTGAGTGGGTGTTGGGCTAAGAACACACGTAAAGGAACAGCCGGCTTCAGTATGCTCTGCTGTCTCGGTAGTAGGTCATCGGCATATCTGGACGTGATTCACCGATCAGACAATCAACCGGTTACAGGCTACTCCATACTAACATGTGGTCATATCTCCAACTTCTCGATATTATCATCATGTTCCCTGAAATCACATCTGAACTGAGCCCACCTTGATGGAAGCCACGTCGGAGCCGGCGCCCGGCTCGCTGACACCCAGGCAGGACACCCGATCACCGGCAATGGACGGGGCCAGAAACTCCCTCTTCAGGCGGTCATTGCCCACCCTGCCGACACGACAGAAGGACACGTTTGAGGGTCATTGATGTGACTCACGTGAGAGCGTAGTCGTACAACTTATCATTGAAGGAGATGGGGCTTGGAATGAGAGGGGGTACACCTCCCAGCGATCACGGCCCTAACCAGACAAGGTTCACGTGACTACTTGACATATGTTGGATCAGGACCAGCGCAGTCATCAAATCTGAAAACTCAGCAGCCCCCAGACAGCCCTCCATGTCTCACCTGGCCAGCGCCGGAGTCGACATGTCCGTCTGGACAGCAATGGCCATCGGTACGGCTCCGCAGTGCACCGCTCCGAGCTGCTCGTTGGCAGCCACACTGTAGGAGAAGTCCAGAGCAGAGCCGCCATACTCTGCGGAACAGCAAGTGGATCGAATTATGCACCAACTAGGCACGGTAGGCAGCAGTACAGAAAACATACTGCATGTGTACTGTCAACTGTGTTGGCATGCGACATCGAGCTTCCTCTGAAGCAGGAACAAGCTAATAAGAATCACACAGAACTTCCGGGCAAGAATACTGTTTTGGTAAATCTGTAAATGACAGCTGGGCTATACAGGGTGATCCAAAAAATTTGGAACCCCTAACTTAAAATGTCTATAAGTCCGAAAGTATCCACTTAATTGACAAATTGTGAACACCATTAGAAAGAGCATTAAATCCTCTATAAAATCACGTCAAATTGGTGCAGGTACGTTGTAAAGCATTGGCACACTATTAGCTTTTGGAATGAGCGTCAGAAAACTGAGTGAAACGAAATCACCAAATGTTAACAATGCGCTGAAATCCGTTAGCACTCTAGCTGTTGTCTTTTTGCGAATAACACCACATCCAAATTCAATTTTATCACATACAAGTTTACACAGAAGCACACAGTAGAACAGGTACACGCGTCCTAGCTTCCGCTGTTCATTCCAGCATGTGCTCAACGCGAGCTCCGTGGGCCGTCACGCAGGCCTGCAGTTGCTTGGGGACAGCTCCGACTGCGAAGGCCAGCAGTCTATGGGACAACTGGTCCCAGCAGGCCGTCACCTTTCCTTTTCTTACAATAGCACGTGAATGAACTATTTTTATTCATGAACCTCCAACAAGCGACATGGTCAGAACAGCAAACCGTCAATCACTGATTTGCGCATAATGTTCAAAACCGTTTCATGAGTTTCGTGACACAAATTTTATAGGCATATGTCTAGGGCAATATTTATAGTAATAATTAAGTTCAATCAACTTGGTTTTATAGAGAATGGAACGCTCTTTCTAATGGTGTTTGCAATTTGTCAATAAAGTGAAAATTTTCTAACTTACAGACATTTTAAGTTAGGGGTTCCATTTTTTATCACCCTGTATAAGACTCTGTGTGACAGGTCTCCTAAAGAGAAGGTAGGTACTAGGTAGGTATCCCTTTGCAACAGGAAAATGATTTACATTGTCTGGCACAAGTGTGTACTTCTAAGACTGATTGGAGACAAGGGCTCATGATTTCCTTTCACAAGAGAGTCAGTTGATACAAATGGATGTTCTAAAAGATATTTTGAAATTTGAGTGCTTGATAGCTTTGGTTCAGGTTGAGATGTTCAACAGGCAACAGGAACTATGCGTGAATGAAAAGATAAAGCAGACAATAGCCAAATGGCTCCTGCTGTATTCATAATTATGCCATATGATCATGTAAATTGACATTGGATGTGATCATGTCATGTTCTACTCCTCACCAGTTGGTTTAGTTATTCCCAGTAGACCAGCATTGCCAAGCTTCTTAAAAACTTCTTTGGCAGGAAATGCTCCATCAGCTTCCCACTGGTCAACATGTGGATTGATATCTTGATCTATAATCTGAAGAAAATAAAAAATCAGTGAATGGAGTAAGATTGCATTATGCAAACAACTAATCACAGACAGTTTTTCCTTATTGGTTTGAAAAAAGTACCCAAGCAAATGCATATGAGATTCAAACAAAGTATCAAAGCAAAGAATAAACACACCAGAAATAAACAGTTTGAAGCATTCACATCTTTAGCTACCTAATAGTTATGATTAAGGTGCAATTTATTTAACATGTTAAACAAACAACATGCTAAATAAATAAGACTGCAGTCTTCAGTTCAGATCCTTAGCAGTTTAGCACATTTCTCATCAATTATAGGTAACAAAAAATTGTTTTTAAATGTTCAAAATCAAAAACAATAAAATTTCGACCCAACATAAACTAAAATAAACTAACATAAACTAAAATAACCATCATGATTGAGGGGATAAATTGATTGACTGTGAGCCGCAAAGGATATCAAAATCAAAGCAGACTGAGACAGCATTTTTCAAAAGTACTTAACATCAACATCTATCGACTATGGATCTCACCTTCTTCAGTGTATTCTGGATTTCTTTGTGGTCTTCCCCATATACTGGACATGCGCTTACTTTGAAATGGCAGGAATTCAAAGAAAAACACTTTTTGGTTTCTTTTGTCAAAGCCCGTCCACCAAATCCACTGATGCATTTGTTTATGCCAGGTCTCACCAACATCATGTCGATGTTTTTTATAGCAAAACGTTACAGCCAGGCAACAAAAGGATGGCCCAGAGCCCAGTCTAGAGCCAGGCAGATAAATTTTCGATAAATACAAAGTAAGCTACGCCCTGTTATTAAACATCCCACATCTCACATTGATATTGATATGCAAAAGTTCCCTGAGAAATCCTTAGCGCCAGTTTTGTCTTGAACACGCCTTAGATGTCTACAAATAAGGTAGGAAGCAGCGCTACCATATCCGAAGGAAAACGTCACACCTACTTCAGAGTAGTAAAGGAATCTAGTACTACCCAAGGGATCTTGCTACTACCCCAGAAAAGTTCTATCGGACCCAAAATTCCTCAAGATTGATCGGACCGTCAATAATCGGTTACATCATATGGCCTTGGCTCGGACCGTCAACGCAGCACTGACGTATCCGCATGGTTATCTTGAAGAATCTTGTCCACGGTGGCTATAAATCAACACTACCACAGCGTACCTATTCGGTAGAGTGACACGTGATCTTCTATGATTTGATCACTATAGGTGTAGGTAGGCAAGTGGCAACTGACCATAACATGACTTTTTGAAACTTTGGTACAGCGGGACATTCAACCCGCGCCCCGTAGGGGGGAGGGGGCGAAACGCCCCCCCCCCGCCGCCCCTGTCCTTTTCCCTCTATGTATATCTCCTAAACGGCTGCAGATATCGCCACCAAACATTCAGGACCCTTCCGGGCATGAATTTTACACATTGTGACCAAAATTCTCCAGAGGCTATGATACGTTGGCCACAAATGACGTTCTGCCATTTTCGACAACAAAAAAAGGTTTCGCGAGAAGAGCTGTCAGGCCTACGGCCTACAGCTTTGAAGATGCAGGAAAATGATCAGACACATAAGGTGTACAATTAACAGGGCTATAACACTGATGTTTCGGATTTTTGAGTTTTTTGTTTTCATTTCGGGTGCGTTTTGTTTCCCTGCCGTTACACATCCGCAGATCTCTGGCTGACAATTAAACTAGCTGCGTTGACTGAGGCATACTGTGTCTGTTATGGGCTAGTTGTCACATTTATGCCATTGAGAATGTGATGACACATCAGAACTGAAACGCAAAAAGTCTTGAATATCAGTACCTTATTATATAATGGATAAATAAGTGGTGCGTTATTTCAAAGCCATACAATGCATGGGAAGAAAATGGATTTGGAAGAATGAAGGAACTTGAAGCAAAACATGAAGCGAGTAGCGGGAGAAATACATTTTCCCGTATATTGTCACGCTGTCAAGCGCTACACAGCAGCTCATTACCTGCTTGCCTGTCCGCGTAACTGGGCATGTGTCCTCACTGTAGTGACCTCTGTATGTGTGAATGTTTCCTGGTGTGAGACCGAGGACAGAAACCGTGCGGGAAATCCGCACCGTCCGCCGTTGCTGCCGCCGCCGCTGCGCCGCGATTGGACCCTTATCGACAGTGGTGGTCTGATAGCGGTGAGCAGCGGCGGCCGTCGTCGGCGCGGCTCGACACTGGTGCTGCCGCAGGGTGTCCGGTGGGGCGCCGTGGACCCCGCAGAGGGCACGGGGCACGGGACACGTGCTCGTCCCGCCTGCAACGTCAGCCAGTCATGGCTGCACGGGCGGCGGTGGTGGTGGCCGTCTGTGTGCTGCTGTTGGGGGTGCACGGCTTCAGAGAGCCACTGGCGTGCAGCATCCGGTGCTGCAGCTTCTCGCCGAGATGTCTGGGAGCGACGCATATGAGCTGCCACTGTCCCGACACCAACACGGTAGGTGAGATCGTGATCGAGTGCGTGCCGGATGGGCACCTGAGGGGTGGCTGCCGAGCAACGGGCCGAGGGAGACGGATGGTATAGGTCCCCAGGGCAGTAACCGTCCCGTGCATTCGTGACGGAGGAATGGAGATTTGAATTCAGATGCCTGCTTGAGCTGAACTCAACAGGTGTCTTTCACATGGTCATGCTTAACCCTATTCCTGGCGGGGGGGGGGGCCTCAGGAGCCCCCCCCCCCTGAGGTTTTTTGGTTATTTCTCCCAAACGCGTTGAGCTAGGAAGCTCAAATTTTCTGACTTTTCCTAAAAGGCTTCTACGCAACATGTCTGAAAATTTTGAGTTGATCTGACCTCAGGTCAGGTCACCAGAGGCGGTTTGGTGACCCTACCTCAGAAAAGTTTGCAATCACGCCAGAGCTAGAGTTTTTGACCGATCAATTTCTTCTCTTCAGGCTTTAGTAAGGGTACCAGTATGTGCAATTTGTATATCTCGGAATTTTGATATCGGTGACCTAAGGTCAGGTCAGTTTCGCGACCTCCCCATTATAAGTCAATGGGGGAAAAATCAACTCCCTGTTTTTACCACTAAAACGGGTCGGAATGGCCCCATATACCATACATGACTTCATATACGATCAACCGTCACTACCTTGAGGTCTGTTTTGCTGTTGGGCAGCTGTGAGGTCATGTGACGTCATCAAAGGTCACCAAAGGTTTTTGGCCAATAACTCCGTACAGGAACAAGATACAGACGCGTGGATGGTCTCATTGTGTTCAGCTCGTCAAGACGCATCGAATGATATACATGATGACCTCGAGGTCACGTGACCTGAGGTCAACCTTTGACCGTGACCTTGCGAGGTCAACATATATATCATTCGATGCGGATTGACGAGAGGATCACGATGATGCCCTTAGTTTGTTCCTATCTTGACTAATTCGAAAGTTATTCGAGAAAAACTCTCTCCATATCTAGCGCCGCCATTTTGACTTTTTCGACCCCTGTGACGTCATCTTTGACCTGACCTGAAAATGACCTCAGTAAAAATTCTAGATCTTGACCGTGCGTATCCGATGCCCTTTACCGTTTGTCGCTATCTTGCTTCGTTCTCGAGATCTCAGGGGGGGGGGGGGCCGAATCGGCCCCCCCCCCGCCAGTTTCTTGTCCCGGCGGAGCCCGCCAGGAATAGGGTTAAGAACAATAATAGAAATTTGAACTCACTATCAGCTGGACCTTGGGCTGCCCTTAGGGGCGGCCCAAGGTCAGGTGAAGTCAGGTCAAGGTCAGGTCAGGTGAAAACCACAGTAATGTGGCCTGGGGAAGGAGGTAATTTTGGGCTGTGACGTCACATGTTTGAAAGTTTGTGTTTGGAATATGGAAAGCCTAAGATGTTTAATGAAAAATAAATGCCAGAACCGTGTTCCTGGTCATCCAATCTATAAAGTCGGGCTCAATTTAACTGGTTTTAACAACATTTTAGAAGGTGGGATAGTTCCTTTAATTAAACCTGCGCATGACTGGGTGGGGGGCTCTACGCCCCTCGCCAATTATTCGACGATATCTTATAAAACGTTTGACGGATCAACATGAAACTTGCGGTACCTTCAGCGGCATCAATTTGACACATTGTTAAAAATTCCCATTTTCCAGCTACCACAGTTCGACCGGAAATGACGTCAGAGTGAGTGACGTCATGTCGGCCGATTTTGATGCAAAATATTGAATTACGGCAAACGCTCTCAAGAGCTCAGATTTAAAGCATAGAGACAATTTTTTTGCATGAATGGACTACAAGTACAAGTCGCTATCAAACTGCTAGTTAGCTCGAATTTTCGAAATTTTGGAAGTTTTTGAAAAATATGTACCTATTTACAATTACAAAAAACATATTTTTTAATTTTCAAAAAACCAGAATATATGTGATAAAACACACTGTTAACTACATATTCTAGCAAGTTTTAGCCCGATATCTTTCAAAATAGCCATGGTATTTGCATTATTGTCAAAATTTTACTATTTAATATTTTTCTAAACAATTTTTCAGTACGTTTTTGACATCGTACAGCAATACAAGTGGCGCCATCGTGCTCCTCAGCTCAAACTGCATCTGATAGGCACTTTTTTTTGCTGAAAATGTCATTTTCAAAATTTGACCTTTTCTGACGTGAAATTGTGGCCTGACCTCCGGTAAATTCAGCTGAAACTGATCTCAAATGACACAGACGACACTGTGCTCGAAATCTACGAGCAAAATGGACCATAAAACATGCGTCACGTGACCGATACATGATATTTAATTTTCGTGACATAGGATGGCCATTCGCCAGGCCTTGACCTGAAAAAAATCTAAGTAAAAGTTCGGTACCCTCAGGGTATCTAAGGAATATATCAAGGAGTGCGTAAACCAAAATTGAACCTGATCGGACTTGTAAGCCGGCAGTCAGAGCCTAAATGGTGAACAAGCAAAAATGCTGATAATTTTTACTTTGACCTGACCTGTGACGTCATCGGTGAACTCGAGGTCAACGAAAATGGGTTTCCTTCGACAGTTTTTCCAGGGGTAACAGACATCGTTTGAATTTTGACGATCGGCCAAGTAGTTTCGGAGATAGAAGGGAGGCTCTGGAGAGCCCCCCCCCCCCCCGTCACTCGCGTTATGGAAAATACCCGAGTCATGCGCGGGTTAAGTTTTAATCTTCGCCCTGGCGGGGTTAAAACTTAGCCCCCTTAGGAGGGGTCGATGCGACCCCCCAAGGTTAAAAAAAAACAGCGTAGCGCCGCCAAATTTGGCACGGCCTATGGGGCAACCTTTTTAACATACGCCCTGAAAATTTCAGGTTCGGGTGACCTTGGGTCAGGTCACCAGGTTAGAAAAATTGGTACAAGGTCATGGTCAAATTTAAATTTTCAGGATGTGCTAAGTCCACCAAGTTGTATAACATATAGTTCGTTTTTTATGTCACTGACCTTAGCTTAGGTCAGTTAGAGGTCAATGCGTCGTGATGTTAAGTCTATGGGAAAATATTTAACTGACTCAAATTCGGAAAACACGCTTCGTTCCATAACTTTTGTGCTTGGATACCACAGTACTTAACATAATGTCACTTGGTTTTTCTTTGTCTCGTGTACTTATCCAAGGGTCAGGTCAAATGAGATCACCTGAGGTCAAATGACGTTCGTGCCAATAAGTTGTCACATAATAAAGATAGAGCTTTCAAAACGGTATCATTTTGTTCCTCTTGAACAGTCGAGGCGAATCATATGCAACATTAAGCATTTCGACCATTCTTAGGACTTACGTTTTACTTAAAATTTGTGCTTAACTTTTTAAGTATACTTCAGCAGGCAAAAAAGTATACCATTCGTCGCGGCGCCTTGACGTGCTGAGTTCACCGGTGCT